TAATTTTAATAATGTTATTCTATTAAAGAAATTGAATTCATAATTTGAACTCTTTCAACAAAGAAAACTCTAGGTCAACAGGCTTTATTGGGAATCTTTAAGGAAGAAAAACTAATTTTACATACACTTTTCCATAAAAAAAAGAAAGAATATATATTAACTCATTTGCGAAGTGAGAATTAACTTGATATGAAAACCAAACATGTTAAGGAAAATAAAACTATGGACAAGTCTCGCTACTGACCATAGACCAAAAAATTCTCAAGAAAATATTAGCAACTCAAATCCAGCAATATATAAAAAATGTAATATGTTCCTAGAATGCAAGGCTGGTTTGTTACTCAAAATCAAACAGTGTAATTCCCATATCAATACACAAAAGAAAAAAATGTAATCTTTTTGTTTTTGATGTAGAAAAAGTTATCTGAAAAATAGAATATCTGCTGGATAAAAATTAACTTCAGGGTGATAAGGTAGAAGGAATGAGGGTAAACTATTATTTTAACGTGTCTGTAAGTAAAAAAAAAAAAATGGGGGGGTGTACTTCTAGTGAGTATAATAGTGTAAAGGGAAAAAGTTTTTCCCCATACCTGAGTCTTGAACAGCTTTGTAGGCTAAAGAGAAGTACACAGAGACAAAAAAATTACAGGAAATAACTATATTTTGCTGTGTATAATACACATTTTGTTGCCCAATTTTTTGAAGGAAAAATATGGTTGTGAATAGTATGTGGGTAGAACTAATTCCATATCTATATAAATGTTTTTAACTCTTTTTTTTTACTTATGGATTAAAAGTACAACTCTATGTTAAAAATAAATGCTAAATTTCCTTTATAATAGAAAAAGCAAGTACATAGATATAAACAAATACAAATTTGAATTAAAACATTAAAACAGGGTGGTGCCTGTGGCTCAAGGAGTAGGGCGCTGGCCCCATATACCCAAAGTGGTGGGTTCAAACCTGGCCAAAAACTGCAACAACAACAAAGAAATTAAAACAAAAGTTTTTTTTTTCCTGAAAGTTTGGTCCCAAAATGTGGTTCTGCATTATACATGGAAAAATATGGTTATGAAGGACAAGGATTGTAGAGGCTGGGGAGGAACTAGGACCCACAGTACAATAGAAGCAAGTGACTAGCCTTCAAAAATTTTACTGCTCTGGGACTAAAGGGAAGAAAGAGAGAGTGACTGTGGATGAAGAGGGTACATGAGTACAGTGAACTGGGGGCACTTTTAGAGTCAAGAGGAAAGATGAAATGGCTCTTGCTGGACAGTCTCACAGTCCTCAGAGATCCCATCTCCAAGGGGGAGAATGCAGTATGGAAGGGCCTGGGCTTTGGCATCAGTCAGAAACTGGGTTTGACTCACAGGTATGCCAGGACCTAGCTGGGTAACCTGTGCAAATCACTAAACGTTTTACTACAGAGTCCTGTCCAGGATGAAATAAGAAAATTATGTGTAGCACAGCTCCTAGGACATAGCAGGTGCTCAGTACATGCTATTATCATTTCCTTTGTCTTGCCCCCTGATTATAAGGAAAAAGCAGGTGGTGCTAACATTTAGGGGGAATAAAAAAGACCTTGAGTCAGAACTTGTGGGAAATGCAATGAGAAGTACACTAAAGATGTGTAAAAATAATTGAGTAGCAGCAGGGTCAGATAAGGTTGAGGTTATGTGTAAATGGATCTTGCTATGATAACCAAATGTTGGCAGGACATAGATGTACAAGTGGTAGAAGGAGGATGTGAGAATCTCTGGGTCATGTCTAGTCACCAGATTTGCTGAACTGTGATGGTGATCAAGAGACTGTGATGTAGCAAATACCCACCAGGAGACCCCTGGTGTGCTGGCCGCTCTCCTACTCCTTAGTGGGCCTCAGGAGAGAGATTCTATAGCATGTCCCCAAAGTTGCCATAGATTGGGAAAATGGGAAATTTTAAAAAATACTTACAAAATATTCTCTACATGTTGGCAACTTCTTTGTACAATTTTATAATGGCTGTTTTTATAAATAAAGGTACATTTAGCTACAGTTTTCCATTTTCCCCTATGTATGGCAACTACTTTAGGGGCGACTTTTGGGACACCCTACATAATTTACCTATTAAACAACATTGTGTAAGAAAATTTTTTACCTATTTACCAACATTGTGCAAGAAAGTTATTACAGTAAGAATGCTATTTTCTCTCTTTGTTTTCCTATTGCAATATAAGTTCGCCTCATTTTGTTCAATCTCTAATGAACGGTAGATGAGCTTACTGACTGTGTCCTTATGTAGCAGCCCATATAGCCTAGGGCTAGGAGGAGTGAGAGTTATAGGAAATACCTGTAATGGAACACCTTGGTGAAAAGGGCATGGAGAGAGATTTGGTTCTAACTAGCACGAGAGAGCTCACGAGATGAGAGCATTGGTGAATTGGCAGTCTCTACACCTGTGGTGTTGAGAAGCACGAGATCAGCCTTCTATTAAGCTGGAGGAGAAGGCAGTCGAAAGGAATGTGCATTCTGTCACGGATCCACTTACTCTGACTCTGTCTCCTCTCCTCCCTGCAGAACACCAGCGTGGTGTCTCTCTGCTGAAGATTACCAAGCTCTGCTAAAGACTAAGAGCTATCTGTTCTAAGAAGACTGCTTTACTCTCTTTAAGATACTCTGTCTCTCTCTCTCCAGCTAAAGTAGATAGCCCTCAAGCGCCTAAGAGAAACTGTTTGTGAGCAAGTTAGCTTAGTGGTCTGCGTCTGTAACCTACCTAAGCCGGGCCCAAGACCTGGCCAGTCCTGGGCCCTGACAAGTGGTGTCAGAAGCAGATCCTGACATCCTTGTCATGTTGTTCGTTTGAACTCTATTTTTAGATATTATTCTTCTCCTTTCTCAAGAATGACTAGAAGTCTCTTGCTTTTCCATCTGTGAATCATCTAAGTTGAAATTTTGTAATTTCTAAGAGGGTTTCTTCCCTTTCTCCCAAGCACACATCTGGGTTATGATCCTCTATTATCTTGAAGACAAGGGTTCTGGGAATGAAGTGTTAGGTGAACTTTATTTATCCTGCAAGAAGCAAAACTAGGAAATGTGTCACTTTCTAGAAATAGAGTATAATTTCCACTAAAATGGAGATTGTCTTGGACTACTCATCATTTTAGCTATCACATGTCCTTTTTTTCACATACATTTTGCACAAATGTATGAACACAATTTTAGTCTTAGGCTCTGGTGCACAACAATGAAGAATATACATAAAAACCCTGATGTAATGGAACTTACAATCTACAGGAATGATAGGCAAGAGGGTAAATAGGTAATTTATGAGATGCTGATACATGCAATGGAGAAAAACAGGAGTAGGGGTGAGGTGTGAGGGGTTGTTACTATTTTGTATTAGGTAGCAAGGGCAGGCCTTGCTGATAATGTGATAATTGAACAGAGACCCAAAGGAAGTCATGGGACAAGCTATACAGAGACATGAGAGAAAAATTATTTTAAGGAGAGAGAAGAGCAAGTGCAATGTCTCTAAAGCAGAAGAGTGCTCAGTGTGCTCCTGGGTCAACAAGGCAGGTTCATCCCCACGCAGAGTGAGAAAAGGGAGAGTAGCAGGAGATGAGATCAAAGAAGTAGCAAGGGAGTCAGATGACGCAGGATGAGGACGTGGGCAGGACTCTGCATCAGACAGGATGCCAGTACAGGGTTGGAGCAGAAGGGTGGCATGTGGTGATTGGTGTTGTAAAAGCTCCCTCTGGCTGCTGTGGTAAGACAGAGACAGGATGACTGGTTAGGGGGCTACTGTAGTGATCCAGGCAAGAGATGGTGGGGGCTTGGACCCAGACTTCTTGTGACAGAAGGGTGAGAACGATCAAATTGTAGATG